CATATTACAAATGCTTTGGTGACTTACCAGATCCCTTGTTTGCCCCGGAGGTGATACTGCTTGGGTGAATGGCAACAAAGTTCATGACAGTGTTGTTGGAGCAAGGATACATGATGATTCTTCTGTCATCACCCACCCACATCGTCATTGTGCCTGTACGCTCGGCGAAAGGCCTAGTTGTTTCGTCATCGAGATATTTCGAGTGGGGAATCATGAATCTGAAAGCGCTTTTTCCAGAACCATAAGGCTTGATGTCTGTGCCAGTGACGATTGACCGTGTTATCGACTGTTTGTTATTAGTTACCGGATTTGGAAGATGAGGAGACTTCGGCTTCTTACGCTGACACCATCGGCTCCAAGAACCAGATCTCCAGACACTGTAGTGCCATCCTCAAACTTGACAGTCGCCGTTGAGGGATCGACATCGACTACTGGGCTGGATGTCTTGAGAATAGCTGGTGTTCCGGGGCCTTCGCTGGAGGTTGCTTGGCTCTTGAGGTTCTCGTGTAGACTGACGCGATGCGCGAGAACCCATGGCTACAGCATGTTAGAGATTACTACAGTAGAGACACATTGCAACGTACATGCTCCCAAACCGAGAGTGGTCCCTTGAGGTGGTTGTCGAATTTGAGATGTCCACCATGTGTATACTCGGTGACCTGCCAAGTTTCAGCCTGTAGTTCAAATCAATGCATCATTGACCGACTTACGCCTTCAACGCGATTTGCGCCAAAAGTCTCGGGATAAACACCAAATCGCTTCAGAAGTCCATGACTGTTGGGCGCCACGTGAATAGCAGCACCAACTTCACGAGCCAGTTGCGATCTCTCGAATAGCTAAGATACAGAGTATGAGTCAAAGTGGGTATCGTCGAGATAGAGTTTACTTACTGTTACTTTATGTCCTTGTTGGCGGAGACCAAGTGCAGCGGTTAAACCACCAATGCCTTGTAATGTCAGCCTCTGTTCAACAAAATACCTTTTTATTGCTAGAATTACCTGCTCCAACAATAAGAATGTTCAAAGGCCTTGTTTCCGTGTCTTGAGTCATGGTTGCAAGTGAATAATACAATAAAACCCCCAAGAAAAGCGTACTCGGCAGATGTGGATGTCCAAAACCGATGTAACTATTTCGTGCAGCTCTGAACCTAATAAACCCCAAACTCTACAAACCGTCTCATGATCAGCCTTCCCCAGATTCTCCCGCTTCCCCATCCCATCTCCTCCAAGTCCCCGATCTTACTTTGCATCTGGGGTCTTACGCGTTTCGGGACTCGGCCCCACGTAACCGAACGCCCCCCGTATCGGAACCCTCCACCTAAAAAAGTTGGGGTCTCAACCGAAGGGACAATTCGGCGACCACCAGAAATATGGTGCAATTGCGGGGGATTTATCCACTGAGAGCGAAGTGAAATAGGGCCTGTCATACGATATTTTATTACAAGGGCTTTTTTGGTTTTGGTCTTAGCATAACTCAGTTTATCTTTACTATACCAATCATTACAATGCCGAACCCTATCAAGGAGGATATCCATACTGTGGATGAGGAGTCGTTTCCTTACATTTTTGAGCAGAATGCTACTGTTCCCCTCAAGGCAGGCGATGGTTTGGTGAGGCTCAATGTCTATCGACCCAAGGGTGTTGACAAGGTTCCTGTTCTCGTCACATATGGTCCTTATGGAAAGGACATTTGGTATCAAGAGTGAGTTCAATCCTTCTGCTTAGAAAATAACCCCTAACATTGTTGTAGCTTCCATCCCAAGTCATTTAGCGAGGTGAATCCTCAGCACAAGTCCCAGCACTCAGCATGGGAAACTCCAGACCCTGGCTTCTGGACCAAGCACGGCTATGCCATCGTCCGAGCTGATGAGCGAGGCCTCGGCCAATCAACCGGCAAGCTTGATACCATGTCCAGAGGCACCAGCGAAGCCTTCTTCGATGTCGTTGAATGGGCCGCCGAGCAGCCTTGGTCATCCGGCAAAGTCGGTCTTCTCGGTATTAGCTACTATGCCGGAAGTCAATGGCGAGTCGCAGCCCGCAAGCCAAAGGGTCTGAGTGCCATCGTTCCCTGGGAGGGCATGTCAGATTATTACCGTGATCGGTGCCGACACGGAGGAATTCTGTCAAATTCTTTTATCAAGTTTTGGTGGAATCGCCAGGTCATTACGAATCAGTACGGTCGACCTGGTCGGAAGGCTAGGAACTGGGGTCCCGATACCATCGAGGGCGATCTACCTGAAGAAGAGCTCGAGGCCAACAGACAGGATCAGACTATCGATAATCAAGTCAACCGCTTCCGAGATGAAGCCTATTACGCTTCCAAGGAGTACGACATGGGCGATATCGAAGTCCCTCTCCTATCAGTAGGCAACTGGGGTGGTATTCTTCTCCATCTCCGCGGCAACATCGAGGGATACATCCACGCTGGTTCAAAGTTCAAGTATCTCCGTCTCATCACAGGTCGCCACGATCTCCCATTCTACTACGAGGAAGAAGTTGAAATTCAACGAAGTTTCCTCGATGCCTTCCTCAAGGGTGAAGACCGCGTTGGCTGGTCTCAAGAAGGCAAGGTTGCTCCCGTGAGTCTTGTTCTTCGAAAGGGCAACGTTGGCTTCAACGATGCCGAGAAGGAAAAGGCTTATCCTCGAAGAGAAGAGAACGAGTGGCCTATTGCGCGAACTCAGTATAAGAAGCTCTTCCTGACGCCTGAACAAGGTCTCAGCTGGGATGAGCCCAAGACAGAGCGCAAGAAGATTAGCTACAAGGCTCTTGGAACACTAGAGAAGCCCGAGGTGGTCCAGTTTTCAACCCTTGCATTTGAGGCTGAGACGGAGATCACAGGCCACGTTGTCGCTCATCTCAATGTCTCAGTTTCTCCTGATCCTTCTGGCCCTACACCCAGTGACATTGATCTGTTTGTCACACTCCGTCACTTCGACCCATCAGGCCAAGAGGTTTTCTATACTGGCACAGCAGGTGACCCCGTCCCCCTAACGAAAGGTTGGCTTCGCGTGTCGCTCCGCAAGGTTGATTCAGAACACCCTAAGCACCGCGACTGGCTTCCTCATAGAAACTACACCAGCAAGGATGTTCAGCCTGTGATTCAGGGTGAAGTCTATGGCGTTGATATTGAGGTCTGGCCTACGAATGTTATTGTTGATAAGGGAGGTAAGTTGGTGTTTGAGGTGTCGTCAGGGGATACTCAGGGGTCGGGTATTTTCTTGCACAACGATCCGATTGACAGGTAAGCATGAATGTTTGAGACATAGGTGCTCATTGCTAACTGGTTTTTAGATCACCTGAAGTCTTCCAAGGTTCGAATCATATCCACTTCGGACCTAGCCAACAAAACTATATCACTCTTCCTGTGATTCCCAACTAGATAGCACATAAAACAGCATAATAGATTAGTCTTTCCATTAATTCAAAATATCAATTGTGAGACAGCGCGATATTGCAACAAGCCTCCTCCATAAACACAATTCGGTATTAAATGTGCAGCATGGCCGCTCATACACCACTATATAAAACTAGTACCCATAGAATATTAAGCTCGCCCGACACTGGTATACCTGCCATTGGCCACTACGTAAAAGACTAAAGCATATAGACAGCCACCATTACAGCGGCCGCAGCCAATCCACCAACACTGCCCTTCTTGTTGATGCTAGCTCCAGACACGGGGACCTGGGCTGTAGGGGTAGAAGCGGCACCCGAGCCGGTAGGTGCAGCAGCTCCACTGCCTCCCTTGGTCATTGATACAACCGTCAAAGGCTTCTCGGTGCAAGATGTAGTAGGGAGAGCGGATCGTGTGACGATATCAGGGGTCGTTACGGCCGAGGGACAGGAGCTGCAGGTGATTGTTGTAGATGCAGAGTCGGCGGCGTGGACGCCTGATAGGACTTCATATGCTGTTAGTTAAAGGACGTGAGTGAATATGTGTTAAATGGATTATTTACCTGCGAGAGCAGCGATGATAGTAAACTTCATGGTTGCGTTTATGAATGAGTGAAGGTCAAAGAGTGAATGGTGGACTCAGACAATCTAACAATAACGACTCGGCGGGGAATCCAAGCAAATAAAACACAAAAATGATTGATACAAACAGGAATGTCTTTGCACATCCAACCTTTGTTAATGTAATGCCGTCTTCCCAGCACCTCTATCAGCCATGACTATCAATTCCTCGGACCAAACTCATCCCGAAGACTTTCGGCTGCTCGGAGAGATTACCAATTCCCCTGATCAACACCAATTTCCCCAACGCTCAGCCTAAGACAAATTATCCAAGCGCAACCGACACTACCAACATTCTACTCCGTACAAACTGTTGAACTAGACAAACGCGATGTTGTCCGGATGGTGAATATTCCGAGCCTTGTCTCACCAAAACCCACACTATAACTCAATCCTCTCTAGCTCACGGAACCAAAGCCATCCGAGATCCAAACGTCCCACAATTAGAAAACAGCGCGCGAATGATGTTCAGCGCTAGTTTCGAACTATTAACTACGGGTTCAAAAGTTGCCGGGCTGAGAGTCCCTGGCGATCATCGAAACATGCCCGATTCGGTAATCTGTTTGAGCCATGACGTCTTGATTCGGCAATTGGGTTGCTTCATTTTGTTTGAGGTGGATGTTTCTTAGGGCTGAGACTTGGGCGGTGCGATACTTTGGGGTATTCGGCTCTTGTTTGGTTGGGTTTGGGGGGGAGATTGGATGGCGGGAAGATCGGAGCGGAATGGTGAGATGCCGAATCGTGATGTTGTGAGTCTAGGGAGATTGAGGCTGTGGATCGAGGGCGGGGATATTATTCACAATTACAGTCGAGGCATCATGAGGGCCTAATGTTGTTACTAGCAAGTTTGGCTGGGTAAGTATATCTACCTGCAGTGGTGATAAAACAATCACATATTTATAACCTGTCGCATCCAATTCACTCTTTCAGAACATCACCAATCTCATCATTCTCTATCATCAAACCCTCCAAGCCTTACTCATCATGTACTTCTCTTCTGCCCTTCCTCTATTGGCCGCTGGCCTAGCCTCCGCTGCTCCTGTCATTGAGAAGCGTGCCTCTCAGATCAACGACGGAGTCATCCTCAACTACGCTCTTACTCTGGAGCATCTCGAGGATAATTTCTATCGTCAAGGTCTCTCCAACTTTACGGAGAAGGACTTTGCGGATGCTGGTTATGACTCCACATTCTACAACAACATCAAGAAGGTCTCTTCTGATGAGACTGCTCACGTCGACTTTATCACCAAGGCTCTCAAGGGTATGTCTTGATCAATAACTATAATATGTACAAGTCTTCTAACATATCTAGCTGCCGGCGTCACACCCGTCGAGGAGTGCACATACTCCTTCGGTGTCACAGACGTCAAATCCTTCCTCGCAACCGCCTCCGTCCTCGAAGGCGTCGGCGTCTCAGCTTACCTCGGCGCCGCAGCCGACATCATGAGCAAGACGTACCTCACCGCCGCCGGATCCATCCTCACCGTCGAGGCCCGTCACTCATCCTACATCCGCGGTGCTCTCAAGCAGGTCCCCTTCGCCCAGCCCTTCGATGCTCCTCTGAGCTACAACGAGGTGTACTCTCTTGCTTCAGGCTTCATCACCGGCTGCCCCAAGGAGAACCCTGCTCTGCCCGTCAAGGCTTTCCCTGCTTTGGCTGCTGCTGCTTCGAGCAGTGAGATTAAGACTGGTGATACTGTTACGCTTCAGACTCCTGGTTATACCCTCGAGGGCGCCAAGGGCCAGGGAGTCTATGCTGCTTTCATCGCTGTCACTGGACCTACCTTTGTTGAGGCCAAGGCTGTTGATGGTGGTTTCTCTGTTGAGATTCCCGAAGGCTTTGCTGGACAGACTTATGTCGTCCTTACTGGCTGCAAGGATGTTGTCTCTGATGACACCGTCGCCGCTGGTCCTGCCATCATTGAGGTGAGTTGATGGAATGAATAGAAGCATTCAAATATACTAACACTTATACAGATCTCCAGCTAAATCTGCTATGCTTCGAAGTACTTTTGAGGTTTGATAAGGTCTGCGGAGGAATGGTAATGGCTTGTGAGAATGGCAGTCTAATAAGGACGATTCTAATGTATATAATTAATTTGTCGCTGAATGAACATGTGTATAGTACACGTTTTGTACACGAACATCTAAATCAATCAGTCTCTTATTTATCTCACGCTTTATATCAAGAGTTCCAACACTTTGACCTGACCCAAATCTTCTTATGCCGCCGCTGTCGCAAGAGTCCTCGGCCATGATCCAAAAGTAAACTGGCTATTACACATATTCGTCAACTCCCACGTCTCAGCCTTGAGCTCACCATAAACACCCTCATCCTCCTCATCACCCACCGCGCCCGCCACAAACAGCGCTGACATGAAGTGATCATCCGTAGCATGAGCATCTCTGTAAAAAGGATGCTTCATCAACCTCGTCATCGCGCGTCTCAATTTCGGGCCACTATTATTCTTGATGACATCCTCGACAGCCTGTCGAAACTCCAGGGCCCACGCCTCGGGTGGTTTCTCTTGCGCAAAGTTATCAGAGTAGTATAGAATAGGCGCCCAGATGTTGCGGTAGAGATTATGTACTGCACCGCCGGAACCGATTATGAGATAGTTTTCTTTTCGCAGAGGACGAAGAGTCTCGCCGACGCGTAGATGGTAGTGAGGATCGAAGCGCGCGTTCATGGAGATGAGTGTTGTCGGTGGGCAGCCGTTGGGGAACATGCGGATGAGGATGAGGTATGTATCGTGGATCCAGTCGAACTCGGTATTTCCGGAAACGTTGAAGCCGGCGTCTTTGAGGAGGGAGATGCATCGCTCGCCGGTCTCGAGGTCCGGGTTGAGTTCGTAGTCGACGTATTTTGATGGGTGGACGTATGCGACGGGGGATTTGCCTGGTTTGGGGTTCATGGCGACCTGCATGCGATCGCCTTCAGCGTCCCAATGAGCGCCCTAAAGATAACTAGCAGTCAGTCAATTGATTACTGTTCGATTCGGTTGAAGACATACCATCATAATAACACCCTTGATGTTGTTGGCCAACGCTTGATCACCGGCCTTCTTCCAATAATCGGCGGACTCAGACTCTTCTCCCAGCATCATGGTAGACCCGTGGGAGAAGAAGTGAACTGGTGATAGATTGGCTTTCATGATGTCAGTGGATTTGTCTAGAACCGATCAAAGAAACATACCCATTCTGGGACAAGTGTGAGTTATCTATATATTTATCAACGTTGCCATGAATCAATTGCCGAGATTGCAAGTATACAAGTATAGGGTGATTAAATCTCCATCGGGATGTGGAGGAGCCCCCTAACCCCCCCAATTTTCGTATCCCCCTCAAATCACGACCCTCCCAATACAACACCAAACCATCCCGGATCTAGCATCGCCTCTCCCCCCGTAGCCACCCCCGCAAAATGCGACCTTGGATTTCCCCGCGGATTCTTTGTCATGTCCGAGCCGAAGGGAAAAAACAACACAATTTCCCCCTGCTCCTCACTCACACACGCTCTCTCTCTTTCTCCTCCACGTCCCGATTGCCTATCTCGCTCTCCACTTGCACGACCAGTCTCACTTTCTCTCACTATGTCGACGACTCAACCTGGCATGTTCCAGTGCGGTTCGTGCAAGAAGAATTATAAGCGTCTTGATCATCTAGCGCGTCACGTGCGATCCCGTATGTGTGCATCTTCCATCATTCACTTGACTCAGTGCTTGTTGCTCACTTGTGTTACCTAGATACACAGACCAAACCCTACAAGTGCCATGTTTGTCCAAAGGCCTTTACAAGACCGTTAGTCTAGTCTAGCCCCTCGTGTTATCCTCGCATCGCTCACTAACGATGATCAAGGGACCTCCTGAAAAGACATGTTGCTGGCCATGGCTCACAGGCTGGGGATAGCTCTGTAGCTGAACAACCGCGTTACATGCCAGGCAGGGTCAGTAAGGCTTGCAAGGCATGTTCTACCAATCACCTGCGCTGTAGTGACGAGAAACCCTGTCGTCGATGTCAAGAGAAAGGCATCGAGTGCAAGTGGAACGACTCCATGGAGCTGGACTCAGACTTTCAGTCTGAGGAGCAGCAGCAGGATGAGGCTATCTTCTCTCAAGATGATGCCTCTTCGTCCATGGCTGCGTTCCCTGATCATACTAGTATTGGGTCAACGTCGGCGTCATCTGTCATGGAGCAGCCTTCACTGGATATGCTCACGCCGCAGACATCACATAGCCTCTTCCAGAATCTTGGTAAGTCTACAAGACACCGCACCCAGGTACGGGGCTCACTGTAATTAGATCCCTCCATGAACACCAACATCGATCCCCTCTTCTTCCCTCTCCCCGATCTCAACCTTCTATCAGGAGGCTGGGCTAATCCTGACGCCAACGACGTCGACATGTACACATACAATCAACTCGATGACATAGACCTCCGGTTCCTTGACTCATACAACACAAGCATTCCCTTCGAAGTCAGAAGTATACAGCCTACTCCCCGAGGAGCTCAAACACCGCGCGCCGCATCGCATACCGATCCCGGTGAGCCCGCTGCCATGTGTACTGAGGCCTTTCAAAATTCTCACTGGAAGTTTCGACCAAATGCCAAAGACCATGCTGGTGCAGAGGAGCATAATCTCTCCCTTCCCGCCACAGACTCTGCCTACCCTTCGCCCGAGTCTGGTGTGGCCTTGGACTCAAACACAAGAGTCACCTCTGCCAAGTTAGAAGGACCAGCTCGTGACAGGATACTCATGATGGTCGTCAACAGTTGTCGCTCGGATCACCTCTCGAAAGCAGTGGCGTCCTTCCCCTCTGCTGAGCTGTTGGACACCTTACTTCAGTACTACCTCACATCCCCCGTCACGCATGCCACGTCATTCATCCACGCAGCTTCTTTCAACCCCAACGAGAAGAGACCTGAGCTTGTCGCTGCCATGGCTGCCTGCGGCGCAGTCTTGACTTCTGACCCTGCTTTGTCAAAGCTCGGCTATGCTATACAAGAGTGCTTGAGGATAGCTGTCGCCAAACATGTAAGTCCTCTACTCCCCGTCCTCACGATCCCAGACTGACCTGTCGCTAGTGGGAACAGGATAACACTCTCGTCCGCGATCTCCAACTCACCCAAGCCTTCGTCATCACCCTCGAGATGGGCATCTGGAGCGGTCTGCCCCGCAAGGTCGAGATAGCAGAGAGCTTCTTCAACCCTGTGCTTACCATGATGCGCCGCGATGGAAAGTTCAAGAGATCAGTATACTCCCAGAGCAAGACCATGCAATCACCAGGTCTTGTCTCTCGGGAAGAATGGTTTCAATGGGTAGAGGACGAGTCCTTCAAGAGGCTTGCCTTCAGGATGCTGTCTCATGATGCCAACACTTCCGCTGCGCTGCTGGTCAGCCCTTCGGTGTCGTATGCCGAGATCCTTCTGCCGTTCCCAGAACATGGGGACCTGTGGACTGCTGCGTCGCCGGAACAGTGGAATTCACTCAAGGCCTCGCGCCGACAAGATGAGCCGCTTTTCGTTGCAGATGTCATTGATGATCCTGATATTCTCAACAACCATACTGACTCTGTTGACATATATGTAGCTATCATGGCTGTCCTCTCTTGTACATGGACTATGTGCTGGGAGTATCTCCAAATCTCATCCCTCCAGCGATCCCGACCTCGACGCTGGAACACCCTCGTCACAGAGATGCGGAAAGACGAACTACTCAAGCTCCTTGGACACCTGAAACTCAGCTTGTCCGCCGACACCTCCGCAGACCCCGAGATCCAAATGCGCCTGGAACTCGCCCTTCTGCACCTCCACATGCCCTTCGAAGACATCCAGATTTTCGCAGGCATGGAAGGTCCTGAACGAGCACGCGCAGTCTATCCCACAGTCCGCGACTGGGTGAAAAGCGAAGCCGCCCGCCACACAATATTCCACGCCGCTCAGATCATGCATATCGCCAAACACTCACCCCGCGGTTCGATGCGCGGCCCCATGGCCATAATTCTGTACCACGCGAGTCTCGCGTTCTGGGTATACGGCCTGTTATCCGACCAATCCAGCTTGTCCCGAGCACTGAGTCAGAATGTTTACCTCGACGAACCAGATAGTATAGCACTTCAGAGATTCAAAGGTTTCGGACAGGGTCAGCCTTGTATACGGTGGAGAACGGAGATTCGGAATGAGGGGGAGGTTGTGATAAGTGTGCCGCTCTCTCAGCCTGATAAGGTCATGGAGGCGGTCATGGGGATTGTGAGGAGTAATTTTACGGGGATGCCGGTGCCGCATCTTACGGAAAAGTTGGTGCAGCTAATGGGAGAGTTGGAGAATTCGGCAAAAAGGAAGTTGGATGCATGATACCCGCCTCTAATGGTTAATATGTATTTATATCGTGTCTGGAGTCCAGAACATATGATGCTATGCAGATGCCGCCTTTCTCCTCTTACTTGACACGATTACTCTAAACTGCTAAGTGCAAGCCAGTAGACTTCACATGATGTGTTTGTGCTAAAACTTGTGAAAGTATTGCATTTCTAGCTGAAATGTGCTCCAATGGCGGCTGACGGTACTCCTAGCGAGACATTGTTACACAATCACGCTACACGTAGAGTATGTGGACATTCACATCTCAGGTCTGCATTCACCAGGAACAGGGGGTAAATGGTTGGTAATTTTACTTCATTTGTTTGATTATCTTTCCGCCTGAATTCTTTCCTCAAACTCCGTAACTTTGCTTACTGGGGAGGGACTAGTCACTGTTAGCAGATATCCAAACCTGAACATTGTCAATACTCACCGAAGACGAGAGTGCCGTTGTCATTGCCGATGCACTCAGCGAGGTTGAGGTCAGCCTCGACGGGGTCACCATCAACGGGGTTGAGAAGAGCGCGGAGGACAGGGACGTTGTCGTCGCCCTCGAGTGAGAAGGTGATGTCAGAAGCAGAGCCAGAGAAGCCTTAAAGTCATGGTTAGCACGCTAGAAATATGCCTGAGATACTTGTTGACTTACCCTCGCCACCCCAGTAGAAAGCACCGTCGTTGTTGCCGATGTAGTAGTCGAGATCAAGGCGAGACTCTTGAGGCTCACCATCAGCATCGTTGCACTGAGCGACGAGGATGTGACCGTCCTCAAGCTCGATGTCAGAAGAGCTCTCGTGGAAGTTGACCATTTTGGCTGATGTGAATTTGAATGAAGCAAAGAAGTGTGATGTGGAGTCGTAGATGCAGGAGTAATATCAAGCTGTGTGAAGAGTCAAGGACTATATATATATCTCTTATTGACAGTGATTCGCGAGAGGCCTCGCGTATGCGCCTCCGCACAAAAGCCAAGACCCTCCAAGACCGAGTGAACCGCGAGAAAAGGATTTTGAAGCTGCCACGACTGCAATGCACATGCAATGCAGACCAAGAGCCCACTTCGTACAAGGACCCCTGAATATCCCATCTCCATCCAAAAGCGCGCGGTTGACGAGGCCCCGCTTAGGCGTATACACAGCTCGGCACAACGGGCATTGGATGTGAGAAGCTGTTTGACTAAGGAGGCCTCTTCCTGTAGGAGTTCTACGGTGTTGAAATGTGTTTCACAACATTATAGGACTTTTGTTGATGGTGGTGGTGAGCTTACTGTGCTGTAGTGGGGAGTTGTTGTTAGGGGGCTGTGCGGTGAGCAGAGGGGGTCTTGGCAGTGGGACGCAATCCAATTATCGATAAAACCTTGGCGTGAAGAAAGTCTTGGCTTGAGGGGTTCCGATTACCGTGGACCGGGTAGGGACAGTACTTGTGTATGACAATAAATATGAGACCACTTTTATGTTGACAATATTACGAGAGGACAAATAGACACGAGACTTGAAGTGGGTCAGATTAGACACATTGATCGGGTCAATTTGTGATAAGATAACAATGGACTACTCATTCCATCATGACAACTAATGGCAAAACCTTTGACGGCACAGACTAGTAACCCTGCCATCGAAGAACCTGTTCTGCCGTAGCAATTCTCATACGCTTTCCATACATCCAAAGAGGAACAGTCAGCAGAGAAAAGATACCCATCAGCATACCGAAAATTCCAAAAGGCTCTGCAGCTCCGCTCTTTTGAACCCAATCAGCCACAAAGAACGTCCAAGCAAACGCGATAATGGACCGCAGGATTGTGACCATGGTGAAGCAATCTGCTGCCAGGGAGTGATAAGAGTCGATCAACTATAAGCTGTTAGTACGCACAGAAAAACAACGTGAGAATGGTATGAGACTTACATAGTTGAATCCAACAGATGGAACCTGCATCAGACCAAAACTGACCATGCCATAGCCAACTTGGAGTCCAACCCAAGTATGCCCTCCAGGGTTCTTGGCGCAGAATCCAAACACCAGAAATCCACAAGTAGCGATGAACAGAGGGAAGAAGAGAGTTGGCAATCGATCCTCAGACTCGGCCACGCCGTTTCGCGTCTTGCTGGCCTTCTTGACAAGTCTGCCATCAGCAAGCATGTGCGTGTACACATAACCGATCACGCCGCCAATGACAGCACCAATGTTGATCAGACCAGCATTAGCCTTCCAAAGATAAGGCGGGCTCGCCATAATCTGAGGCCCGATGGTCGAAATAGTGACGATACCACCAACAAGCCCAGCATAGTGAAGCATCACCACCCAAGTACCAGGGAAGGCGAGAGTCTTCCAGGGCTGGATGAATTGCTTTAGCAGACTTCCCCGAGGCTTGTTGAAGCCCAAAGACTGGACGTAGCCGTAGGCCGAGTACGTGATGTGCTGTTCACCCCCGGTGACGGACTGCTTATCCTCGACGTGCTCGTTCTTGCCAAACTGGGCATTCTTTTCGGTCTCGGGATCTGTTACGCCTTCAACGGGTGCGCTTCGGATATATAAGGTTTCGGGGACGAAGAAGATGGCGCCGACGAGGCAGGTAGCGGAGAGGGCGAGACAGACCCAGAAGATGGCCTTCCAGCCCTGTTGGTAGACGATGTATCCTCCTGTGATGCCACCTGTAAGAGGTCCGACGACTAGCATGATGGTATAGACGGCCTGTCACAGAATATCAGTCCTTAGTTGTTTGTTAGTGTTGGAAAAGATGCTTACCATGGCTCGTCCACGCTGATGAATAGGGAACATATCTCCAATAAGCGCGGGAGCAACAGTGTCTGCAGCCGCACCTCCAATGCCCTGGAAGATGCGAGCAACGAGGAGGGACTCATACGAAGTGGCAAGCGCACACCAAAGAGTGCAGAACGTGAGTATGGCCGTGGCGATGATGAGAACAGGTCGTCGTCCCATCCAGTTGGACAGGGGAACCCACCAGATATTGGCCGCACCGATGAAGAGAATGTTGACCTGTGGTCTTATCAGCATTGAACTCCGGCCAGTGGGATAAGGGAGAAACTTACCGCAATCAACTTGGTCAGTTCAGATATCGTTCTCGGATCCTTCGGAAAGAACATGGGCCAGAGGTTAAAAGCAGGCGCAATGACACCGCTTGTGTAGTTCGCGACGAAGCCATACAATGAGGCAACGCACAGAGCAGCGATTTTATGCCATGTCGGTAAATTGAGGGGATCTCGAGGATCATCCGTCATATGGCCGCTAACAACCACATGGCCTGCATCTTCCTGCTCCCCTTTTTTTACCATTAGTCTCGAGATCTCCACGCGTCAAGGGGGCAGGAATTCTCACGGTGGATCTGGACTGTGCCAGGAGGTGTCGCAACCTCGACTTCAAGCGAAGACAGGCCAAAGGCTTCTTTGAAAGAGACCATCTTGTGAAATGTTGCAGTTAGGGGTGATGTTTTTGGAATTTTTAGTCGTAGGCCATGGTCAATTAAGTACTCCTCACTCCCCAGTCCTCCTCCACGTTACCCCGGATTACCCCATGGGACCTGTGAAAGTCTGTAACCGAGATGCAATCTAGATCACTAGGGTGTCAGCCGCACGAACCAACCAGATAGATCAGATACTTTGGTGGCGTTACAAGCTTAGCTTGATCTGGGAGTGTTCAGTTGGTGGTTTTGGTGATGGCGTCGGGGTACCCTCCACTTTCCCGGTGGCCCTCTCGGGACGTGGGATGTTGGTGATGGAGGATGAGGGGAATGTTGCATTTGGACTTCACATCCTAGGTAATAACCAGCTCAAAATCGATCAAATTAATGGAGTTAGTTTGGGAGAAATACCGTTGCGAGGCCGATGATCTGATATGGCATGGGTCTATTCGATAACTAGAGTTTCGGTGTCTACATAGTGTATCTCCAGCTGTAGCGGTGCAGTTAACTATCTTGGCATGATCACTAACCCTCATCGCATCTCTTGTCTATCCTACACAGAAACTATAAGCAAAGCGACCAGAAAATCGGTCACAGTAACCCAGCCAGTACTCATCGAGGGAGTCAGACTCTTAATCTTGCACTCCCGAAACATCCGCTGGATTGCGGGTTTTCCATCCGTTTTCGGGTCTTCCATAAATCATCGGGTTGTCCGCTCGTCACGTCGATCGTCGCCAAGAACAATTGTTACGCCACGGTTTTGACTTGAATAGGACCCCCGGTCCTCCGATAAAGTACTAGGAAACTCACGATGTTGCAACGTCTTCCCTCTATAAATCCTGGACTGGTATTCATGCTCTTTTCTGTCTCGTCCTAGCGTGAAGCTCTCGGCCTTTCCATCTCGAGGACTCTGATCTTCTAGTTGGACTGGCCGGGTCCTGTGTATAGCTACAAGCTACAAGGAGAAGAGAATGATCCTCTTGTACGGTATTTGTATCTCTTAATCAAGAAATAAAGGAATAAAGTGACACGCCAGGCTCGTCCTTGGCTTGTACAGGAGGATGACTTGAGCAATTGGAATCCATAGTCAGACCTGTCAAGTGCCGAATTGTTAGCCGTGACTGGCTTTGGAGAAAATCGTCGTGCACCCTGGCTTATCCCCGCTCATGATATGCATTTTCCTTGGTACCCAGAGCATTCATCAACACCTACCATTATCCTGCGCCAGGCGAACCCCCTGTCATCGCTTCAACCAATCCTTTGCTTCCTCCGGACCCAAACCTCTTTATCCGTAGACAAATCGTTCTTCTCTTTTGTATCGTTGCATTCTGTTCCTCTGATATCCCTGATATCCACCTCCCAGGTCTTGAGTCTGTAGTTCCCCCGATCTGACATGCCAGTGAACAGATCAAAAGACCAACCATGGTTTGGACATAACACTCCAGCGCTAAGTACAACTCCAAAGTCTTCAATGTCGAACGGCGTCCCTTTTGAAAGAGGGTATTGGCTATGTGGACATGACTACCCTTGTTAGCCCCTGCAAACAATTTACTTATCAACATTTGCTCACATGGTCGATTGCATGGAATTTGCCTTTGTATTGAAACACAAGCACCTGGTTCACAAGTGCCTCCAACGTAGAATCATCACCGACGGGAACTTCTTTTGACGAAGAGACGTCTTCCTTTGGTATGTGGAATGCTTTGCAGCCTGGTATTGATTTTCCGTTACACAGGCGATGTTTTGCCAAGTTGCCCGCATCATCGTCTACATCTGGAAATGATGATGTATGGCCTACAAACGTCCATTGAGCCCCTTGTCGGGAAAATGGGTTGAAGAAATTCATTTTGATAGAGGTACTTGGTCACTCAGCGATTTTACTCCGAGCCAAAAGTCGAAAAATTGCTCTTATCATGGCGCGGAACAAATTCCTCTTGGACATGTGACATATCACGTGGACGGAACCAGAACGAGTCACTCTGCAAACAAATCTTGGCGATAAACTATCAATAGAGTCATTTATTGAATATTCATTCCTATATGATATGAATAGTTTCAGTATCGTATTTTTCTCAAATAGCGCCATGATATATCGAAAGGTTCCAAAAATTTCCCATAGTCAAGAAAGATCTGCCGCTTCTCATCCCCCAGCTCGTTCTTGTGAGCTAGATATGTTATTTCCAGTTAAGATTGTGGTGAAAGCTTAAATAATCATAGAGAGTTTAGACCCAGCTCATGAATGACACCGTTCGTCCTGGTTGTGCGTCTGGTGGCAATATCATGGCTCTAGAGTATTAATATGCCACGTTGGTAGATAGAAGACGGCTCAGAACATACAGTCTACTACCACCTTATTGATAGAGTATCAGTATAATCATTCACTTAATAATCATCTCTATCGTATAGATTGGTGAAGTATATCTACCCCAAATGGCGCCATAGCATATCAAAAGATTCAGAAAGCTCCTCATCATCTAGAAGGATTTGCCGCCACTGCACTATCTCCCAGACCATCCCGTTCAATGTGTTTTGACATAAACGACTCCCATTCTCATCCAAATCTTCATCAGCTTCATCAAGAAACGTAGCTGTCACTTTAACATCAAGAAGCTCTTGTACAGGTCTCCCTTCGAGCAACCTTTTAATCATCGGCATAAGCCCCTTTTGAATAGACTGGTGCCGGAGCAAGAGAAGATTCATCAATGCTGCAGCTGACCCAAAACAAGTGTCTTTTGTTTCTGAGCAGTGGAATCTGGCTGGGATGTGTCGGAGGAAGTAACAGCTAGAGTTCTCATCGCTCTGCACAATCTTCGACTGAATAGCTTCGAAGCGCGAATAGTGCGGGGAACAAGGATTGATATACCGTAGGAAGAGGTCTTGGAGATCAGAATCTGCCAGGATATCATGAATATACAAAGCGCAGCCGAGTGTGAGGTAATAGGCCTCGCGGTCGTGGATCCAATCAGTATTTGTCCCTTCTGGATCAGCCGCTAGGGCTTGTTTCAGGACGCTCTTTGCGAATTTCAGTCGAATCAGCTCGGGAGACATGGCGAAGAATGCAAAGTTGGGTTGAAAGACATGCGGCGATACCAAGAACTCCAGAACTGTGTAGTGAGCGAGAGATACGTAGAAATCTTGTTCGCCAGTTGCTTCTCTAGCCTGTAAACCAGCTGAATCTTCCTGCCGGCTATCGAAAATATCCCCGGGAACGTAGCGAACTGTTATGAGGCAGCTGCATATCTCTTGCAGGTATTCAAAGTCGATGATGGAGTTTTGACCTTCGGTTTCGTATCCGAAATGCTCATAGGTAACAGCCGACAGAAGCAAGTTCGCGTTGACGCCAACGTCGTAGAGCCAAGCAGCTTGCGAATGGCCTATGATCCAAGTGAGGACACGACGAACGAACGGTCTATCATCTTCGGGGATTGCTTCGAATATTCTGGCGTAAGTCTCACTCAGGTCTTTGGGTAAGTTAGAAAGAAGTTGCTGTAGTTTCGATTGGTCGCGAAGTCGCTCTATGGCTTGAATTTGGCATTCAGCCCACCGAAACCTTGTAGCCTTGAGTTAGCTCAGTTGAAAGTGAGGAACTTTTTAAATCATATCATAGGGAATGGGAGCTCTCACATTCCTTTAGCCATGGTAGCTAGAACTGCCTCAATTTCGTCGAATCGCTCGTGCCATCTCTTCAGTCGGTGACTTGACTTTAGTCGAGCGTGTACAAACCGTCTAATATCAGCGTCTACCATTGTATTTGACATTGATATTCTTTCTGATATCTCACCCAAAGACCTTTCTATGTCAAAGTATTGCCGGCTTGTTGCTAATATCCTGATCTTTTCAAACCGCTTATCGACTGTTATGGTCTCAATCAACGACAGAAGCTCTTCCCGAGGATTGCTCTCGTCAACGGCATCTATGACGATATAAAGAATGTCTAGCCGCTGTAGGATTACCTCTAGAACAACTCCTAGGTCCACGATAGTAGGCTCGCAACCATGGTCATGGAGTCGTTTTAACTCAGTTGGTATCCAATTGATCTGTCGACAGATATGGGCAATGACCCAGCTCATCAATGGCACCGTTTCGTCCTGATTATGTGAGTAGTGGCAGTAGTAGTAGCTACAAACACTACCATTGGCAGGTTCACACAGTTTCTCGAGCTCTTTGATGACGTATGATGCTAGAACTGTTTTGCCTGCGCCAGGTAGCCCATGTATCCAAATGAGTCTCGTCTCAGAGGCTAATGACACCCAAGCCTTCCACTGGGAAGAATTGTTAACCCAGGCTGTTGTCAGGGGTTCATGTTTGCTAAACGCTATGTTGTGGAGAGACGATGGATTTGTTCGTTCAAGCCATCGGATGGTCTCCCGGGCTTCGGACCCTTTGAAGAAGTCAGCTCAGGCCAGGCATCGATGATAATCACCAACCTGAGATTGTCCCTTGTAGTCTTTCGATCCCTGTTTTGATTTCCTTCAGGTCTCGACTGGATGCAATCTGTTAACCTCAACTTTCGCAAAGCGACTCTAGACCTACCTCATATCACCGGACATAGCCAGCAATAAGGTAGCCTTATGGTGAGATATCTCCGCCAACAGCTTCCTAACTTTGGATTGCTTCAAAGGCCATGCGAGATCAACCAGTGTTAGCTTACGCCTCTTGCCTGTCTTGTATTGGCCAATGGTGTCTGGCAGAAGAGCCTCAAGAGAGGCAAGACAGCTGTGACAAGACTTGATAGGTCCATTTTGTTCGTGAAGATTGGGCACAAGGCTCGTGGCACTTGATTCGCCAATGCTATCAATAATAGCTCTTAGTGAAGTAGCCTCCCCTAGGACCATTTGAATGTCTTTCGGTGCATCCTCAACGGCTTCAATGCAGTATTTGCACGTGCGGATGATGCGGTCGGCAAGGCCAATGAATGCCAGGACGCTGGCCCCGATGGATAGTGGATCAGCCATGGAGACTGCCTGGCCTGAGGTTTGCTTGTTATAGACACAGCAGTTGATTTGTTGGTTCTAAACCCATCTCGTATTGTCCTTTATAAATCGAATTGATCTTGAATAGAGGGGTAGTTGCATGGGCTGCATGTGAAACACGTGGCGCTGTTAGATTAGGTCGATTATCTTTAGGGCTGAACTTCGTGTCAGATGCAACTACAAGGCGAGATCTTGGGTTACTTCGGTTGAAGAATCTAATGAAATCCGATATGTTCCTCGCTGAACTACCATATCTATTACTGTGATGGTTTTGCTCAGCAGCTCCAACTTTTTAGAGAGTACCTGTAGTCCTTATGCCTTCACGTAGCGGCTGTATTGAGGAAATCTAAACTCTCCAGCCCATATGTTGCCCTTATGTTACCCCTATACTCACGCACTCCTCTCTTTCTTATTTGAGACGACAGATGAGTGAGAATTGAACGTTTAGCGATACTTAAACAATTGTGGAGTTGGCCACGCCAGAATAGCAGGCACTGGTAGGGTTAGTATACCCAGTTATTATGCACTACAACTCCATCAAAGGATCCCATAGGACTGGGCCCAGGATATCTTTACTGTGCCGTATCGTCTCGGGTTCTAGGACCATATCCGGTATGTGAAGCGTGGCATGACAATTCAAACGTACGTGCTGGTTCCATGGCGAAGTAAAGACAAACAACGCAGGTATATACCTTACTCTTCAACCTTTACCCCTTCATCTAGCCCTACAGTGCAAATATGACTGAGTCAAATGAGTCTGGGCCTGCTCAAGCAGCTACAGATATCTCTGGTCTTCTTCCTTCCGAGCATTGGGCTGAGGTAGCTGAGGTTCGTATGATATGATATCGAAGACCACGATCACGCCACTGATCAGAAGCTAGGAGTTGGGAGACAGAGATTCTGCTCTGGGGAACGATAATTCTGAGTCGACTGCGTCAATTACTTCAAGTATTCTCGAGTACAGGAATATCAATGGTAGAACATATCACCACGATATCGGCAATGCGCAGTACTGGTAAGTTATCGAAAGAGTCGACGATACGTGCGTGATTAATTCATGTAGGGGAACAAATGACAAAAAGCAAAACGAATCGATGGATATCAAGTATGTTTACTGATCGCAAGCTGATGATTGATGCTAATGCGCGTAGCCATCATGTTTTGACGCTGGTTTTGGACGGTGCGCTGTACCTTGCGCCTCTTGCGAAGGATATCACGGTGTGTTGTTGCTGGTAGTCCTGCAATACCTTGCTGACTATTACAGAGTGTCATCGATATTGGAACAGGGACAGGTAAGCTCCGGAGCGATAATTCTACACGGCCTGGCTTCTGGCCACAAAGTCCACTACATATGTGCAGAAGCGGTCCAGATTAATCTCTCGACGGGCTTGAGCTGATATGAACCTTTCCTAGGCATCTGGGCTATGCAAGTATCTCTATCCTTACCGCTATGGAATCTCTGTTAACTAGATTCTACAGCGACTTCGCAGATAGATTTCCAGACACGCAAGTAATAGGCACCGATGTATCGCCAATTCAATCGGGCTGGATCCCTCTTAACTTACGATTGTAAGAGACCTGCACATAACTGTAAGCATATCTGACACTTCGCTAGCGATATCGAAGACTGCACCCAACAATGGACGTTCGCCCCTAACTCGCAGGATTACATCCACTTGCGTTGGCTTGTCGGCAGTATCGTAGACTGGGACCAGCTCTTCAAAGAAGCGTATCGGTGTCTCAAGCCGGGTGGCTATATAGAAAGCCACGAGGCTCTTTCCAGAATGGACTGCGATGACGGAAGTATTACTGAGAAGAGCGCTATGCACCAGTGGGGAAAGTTCTTCGTTGAGGGTGGTAAGAAGATCGGCCGTTCGTTCACTATCGTTGAAGATGGAGTGCAGAGATCTGCTATGGAGAAGGCCGGTTTTGTTGAACTTGAGGAACGTGACTTCAAGGTGAGTGACTCCCGTTCTGTGGCCGTTTGGCTTGCACTTACAAATTCTCTCCGATAGGTCCCCATTGGAGGTTGGCCAAAGGATCCCAGGATGAAGGAAATTGGCAAGTATGCTCAGGCTACGCTTGAGCAGGATATTGAAGGCTACGTCTTGTTCATGGCGAATGCGGTGGAGGGCTGGACTAAGGCGGAGGTCGAGGTGTATATCTCGATGCTAAGAAGGGAGTTGAGACAAGGGACTATGCATCCTTATTATCGGCAGAGGGCTGTCTGGGCTCAGAAACCAAAAGAATAAAGTGATATAGGTAGTGTAGTAAAGCTTTAGTACAAGTCCATAATATAACAACTCTCCCTTACTTTAGATAGCCTAGTAAGATCCCATTCTTTCTTCTATAAGCTCTGTGAACTTTACTAGGTCTGTTGAGCATGGTTCCAGTATCTCTTTCAGTACAGGAACCCACCATTCTTCTATCCCTGGGCCAAGACCTATGGCGACCGCATATTCCACATACTCAGGATAAAACCCACTCAGCTCCCAATCGATTATCCCTGTGATGGTACTTCCATCAACCATGATATTGCGCGGTGAAAGATCACCATGAGTAAGAACGAAACGTCCAGTTGATTTACGTCTTTGCTTTTCGAGGACCCTCTTCCATTTCCAGCGTTGCAATCCTCCACCTGACAGTCTTGCCAGACACCATTGATCAAAAGACTCCTCGTCCTCAAAGGGGCCACAATGCCTAACAAATGTGGTGTTGTATATGTTGCGGGTGGGTTGCTTGTCGATACGGCCTATGTAAGGCTGTATCAAAGTACGCATTTGCTTTATCTGAGCGCGAAGCTGCTCCTTGGCAGATGTCTGCTCAGCTCGGGACATGTTCTGCCACACGTCGACAAGAGGCACTCCAGGAACACGCTCGCTGACCATGACACGCGCGATAGGCCTTTTAGTGACAATATCATAGACTCCGCGGACCTTCGGAGCTAAAACGCCATGCTTTGCGGCATAATGCATCATGTCGGCTTGAGAGCGGTCAATGCCATCTGAGCTGCTGACTTTGAGTGCGAGCACTTCACCATGGGAGTTGGTATGCTCCAGAACTCGGTTTCCCCAGTAATTGTGTATCTCCTTTCCGACAACAGCATCAAGATAGTGGCATTTGAGATACTTGGGGTTTACTCCCTGTTCGCCGTTACCTATTTCAGTCTCCGTACATTCCAGCTCCTCTTGCTCTGTTTCTGATGAAAGGTTTATGCTGATAGATGGCTTACGGTAAGGCCTCAAGATGATCGAACTTTCCGATCAGGTGAAGGCTTATATATATGAGATGTGAGAAGAGTTAGCCTTGTGTTTTTGAGCGAGCGATTACTGTGTACTTACCAACCAACCTCCTCTTATACCCTTGCCAAATTCACCAATAACAGGTCCATCACGAATAAAAGTGGAATGCAGAACTAACTACATCAAAAATCAGAAATCTTATAAAATTTAGCAAAAAAGACGCATAGCATTAATTAAGCAGAAATATTCTAGAAATAAAGTAGTTGGGCACGCTCGACGACCACGCTGCTGCATAAAAAGACCCTTTCGTTGGGGCATTCAGTGAGCTGGTTACAGCGGGTTTCGGCATTGGATTGAAAGTTATGATTGGTTTGGATCAAATAAAGCCCGAGATACCCTACCAATAAGGTTCAACGGCGATGGTGCAAGGGGTTAAGACAAATTGGGTTAGATCACGGAGCGTGCCGGGCGACCGGGCGGAAGCCCGAGATTACGCGCAGATAGCTAATAATAACTCAATTCTCGACGATGAGGCTGCCGCTGCCGCAGGAAACGACACAAACTCACGGATCAAGATGGGGAACCTCGTGACCCGTTTAATCACTTGCCTGAAATTTGATTAAGTCAGCTACAACTGGGTTATTGTTGTGCAAGGCCTAGCCAGGAACATAGATCAGAACGTCAATATCGGACGGCGCTCAAACGATAATGCTTCCGATCGATGACCACGAATCGTACAAAGGGGAAAGAGAGATGAAATTGACTCGGACCATCTCAGATCTCTTTCTATAATCACTTGGGGGTGGACATAGAGACCAAGTTCCAGCTGTCAAGAAGTCTATGACATGCATACCTTCATCGAAAGCCCAAAAGGTTCAGCTGAAAGCTCAATATGGAATGGCTGAGCGGTAAATGCGGTTTCCCAATGGCCTCAAACATATTGGCCAATGAGTTTTTCAGCTCTCACACACACTCGGTTTCAGGAGGGTTGCCACGGTAAGACATGTTTGATGTACATAGAAGGTTCAAAGGCCCAGATATGTACTATGAAGTGAAGACTGAGCAAACTGCGGCTATACACGAAACAAAGCAATTAACTTTTAACACTCATTTCCTCTCCATCTCGAGCCTCCTGAACCAAGCTCGTTTTTACCGTGATCTAGCGTGATGATTCTCTCGCACAGCTGTAGATAGACTCCTTGTTGCGGGGTACAGTATTGCTACCCGTAGGTACTCTCTAGGAAGCACGGACTGAGGTGTGACGGTAATCCACAGCTCCATTATGCATCTTCGCGGCGTGAATCAAAGAGCCTGACCATTCATCAGCGACATCGTCCACGGCACAGCAGAAGTCACTGAGACAGCACTTAGAGAGTCACTCCAAGTTGTAGGATACAAGTAACCAAGTAGAATCGTTGTTGAATGACACAGCAGTTTAATCACGTATTCATGGATACTTCCACTCGAAGGTCAAGGTTCTTGGTCTGATTTAAGAGCACACTTACAGAATGATCTGAAGACAAAGAATTGCAATTAACAGAATCTGATTATATCGACAGTGCCGCTGGAAACAGTCCTTTGGCTGGGATGATGCCTGCTTGGGCAAATGGGCTGTGGGGTCCGGGCAATGTCCGTAGTAGATATTGTTTGTGATGTTGGTAGCGTTGCCATTATACATATTTCCATTGCCACAATGCACGGCATCTTTGCTGATAGTTGAGCCGTTCAGGTCGCTGTTTGCGACGACATTATTCGTAGGCACCAAAAGAGGGGCATTGTCGTCCTCTAAAGCCGTACCCCCCATCATGAAGTGCGGGCTGCCTTGCTGCCAAACTGGCTGGATCGTATGGATGTGACACCACGTCCAGAAGAATTTTTCATGTGACAGATTTGTGGCGAGCTGACTCGTGATTCGGAAGGGCTTTTCGGAGTAACATCCTCTCCGATGCATGTGCTGTCACACTGCATATCGGGGGCCTCAAAATCTGATAGCACTAATCAGATCGTAGCATAATTATGGGAGTCTATCAAAGCTTTTAAATTGCTTTATTATGTCACTTTGTCGTACCTGCTACCACATATACACACTAGCAGCCATCGAACCCGCATTTTGAAGATGCCGCCAGGATATGGACGTGATGCATCGATCGTCACATCTCATCTTTGAGAAATGTCGATTTAGATACTGAGAGGTGTCATTTAGCCATTTTATATCCGGAATTTTGGGTCATACGCATGGCAAGTTTACAGGTGAATGTACGCGATACAGCGATTGTTGAGTGGGAGCTCAGTTAGATGCCTTGCCTCGTCCATCACATCACAGCCTCATTGCAATGTCTGTCAAACACGGAACAGGAAGCATTTTCAACTAGCTCCCGAACCTCCAGAACAGTTTTGAAGCTTCCCCTTGTTATCTTAAGCCTTCGGGATTGCATTTCTTCCCAAGGTATCCATCCACACCTGTCACGTCATACAGGCTTTCAACCAACAGTGGCGTAGCAAACTGGGCCAACACAATCAACTTGATCAGACACTCCTTCTACTTTAGGTACTCCAGGGCTTTGAATGTTAAGTCCGAAGTATTGCATTTCAACCCGAGATTCTTTGACGTAGAGGTCCTTACGTGGTCGAGATCCCCCCCTCGGACAGCCCCCTGACGGTTACTGTTCTTCTACCTTTCCTTCATCCCAAGATATCCGGTTTTCTCTTTTTCGTGTTGATAAGGGCAAAAGGCTGATTAGAGACAGAGGCGAACCATGCTTAGGAGTATCTTCGATCCATGAAACGAAACCGTCTACGGCTGGTTGCGATAGTCGATCTCGTTCGGAAAACAATACTGGACCCCAAGCGTCGCTGTAACTCGGAGGCTCGTCTCCCAAGAAATCATCTGAGTACCCAACCACTCCCATAGATTCTCTCTCTCCTCTTCAACACTTTATTCACACTTCAAAGTATATCTTTGCCCCCTGAAACGAAAATCAATACTCGATATGATACCACCCTCCTGAGGTGCAAGTCTCGACTTCACGAACATCCTCAAGAACTCTCGTCTCTTTGATGAAACTCTTGCTATATTTACTGACCGCTTTATGATCAACGTATCAAATCCTTCATACCGGCAGCCTTATTCTGCCGTGTTACTCTGCTTCGCCCCCTCAAATTGCCTTAGGTTTCACCGCAGTCTGACACATGAGGCTCTGCTGTCAATCTTTCACACTTTTTCACAATCTCCTTTCTCAATGGTGCCTAACTCTCGTTACCATACTCACATCTTGGCCTTCTTTTGCGGTCGCACCTTTTCACAATTTTCATAATCTGCGGTCGATTTTCATGCCACGTTAGCACAACCATAATTTGTCCTGCATTCTGACACACCACCCGACGAAGACATCGTCGTCGATGTAGCTATTCACGGCTTCTTGGTCTCTTCACCGCTCTTTGTTGTCACGGTTTTTGCTTGCCTTGTTTTCCAAGTTGAGGCTATCATGGCAGAGATTCTTGGGGTCGCGGCGTCGGCGAGCCAGCTTGGTTTAGCATGCTTTTCTCTGATAGATGTCATGAGGAAGATAAAAGGGGGAGCGTCGACGCTGAAAAGATATCATGAGCAGCTCCAAGAACTTCAGAGACTTTCTACTAGCATCTCTGAGAACCCTCTTCTCCAGACCCCTGAGATAGGGACGCAGACCGACGCTCTTCTTTTTATCATTAACAATAACTGTTTGAACTCTTTACTCCGAAAAAGCAGAGTCCTTCGTACTTGGGGCTTCCTATACAGAGAGCAAGATCTTCTTGATATCTTTGTCAGACTTGAACGACAAAAGGGCAACCTTTCTCTAGCTATTGAGCAGATACAATCCAAAACCTTGTATCAAATACAGACAGACATACAAGCCATGGCTGAAAAGAAGTCTTCAGATGTTCCGGCTCCTGAATCTCCATTCGGGAATTTTCCGGCTCCCTTGATCGAGGACGAATTCACAGTCTTCTCCCGCAATCAGAACACTCCTGGCCCGGCGTCCAGCATTCGTTATTACAATGATTTTGTCAGCTCGCTCCTAGTTTCCACCATGTCCACCCAAGCCTTTCCGAACCAACCTCCTGCATTTCACGGTAACGCTGCGACCCTAGGCCCGAACGATTCTTCCACTTCCGACCCCGTGCAGCCGAATGAGCACAAGCCTGATCCCAAAGGCCAGAATATCAACAATGCGCTCGCAGGTGCCGGATTTCATCAACATAATGGACGAGTAATCCAAGTCGATGATGAGAAGGCAGCAGAGCGGACTGCAGACAATCTACGCAAGACGAAGCCCATAACCTACAACAACTCGATCAAACTTGGGTACGGTGACCAACACAATGGCAACATCATTGAGTACGAGAGTAGAACTGACTACGTCATGCCCGATTCGAGCGGAGACACATGGAACAATCCGATGGCGTTGTTCTGGCTTTCTGAGGGCTCAAAGCCTGTCATCTATGGAACTCAGCATAATGGGCCAATCATGCGAACCAAGAAATAGCGCGGGTAAAGAGAAAGGTCACAAGAGGTCAGGGCGGACATGTGAGCAGGATAGTTGTTATACATGTTAGGAGAACGATTCGCAAATTGCGGTGCTGTCTAACTGTATATATCAAGGGGTAGTTCAGGAGAAACGGGTATAATAGAGGGTTTAACTGTTAACTGTGTTGAATATATGTGGCGTTGTATTCCAACTGGTACATTACTCGTGCCTGAAAAGGGTTCTAGCGACTGATAGCAGACTACACTACCTTAGTATACCTATGTGCCGAGGTAGGCAGAGAAGCAGCACCTGTAGAATATATGTAAGCATAGAGGACGAGCTCTTTAGAACCTATTTCGAGCAATCAGGCCATGACCGTCACAATAATATATAAAGTGTCCAAGAATAATGAACCAAGATCTTCAGCCAGACAATCAAGTTAAATAAGCCTAATTCTCCTGATCTTGGGTATCAAGCCACTCAAACATCCGTCAACAAGTGACTTATCATATCCCTCGTATGCTTAACAACCGATACGCAATGCGGATCCTTATCATGCATCTGATGCGCCAACCGATGTCCTATACCCGGCGGTACATGACTCGTTCCTGAATGCCACAAATTCTGTCTATCCTCCATCAACTGCAACATCGCCACGAATGACATAGAACTCGAATGCGATGTCCCAAAAAGCTCAGATTTGATAGCTTTATTCGCAATGCTTTTCCAATCCTGAGGGTCTAGGCTCAGCGAGAATCCTGACCCTTCGTTTTGCGACGGTGCCTCTAGCTTTTGGCCTTCACTTATGCATAATTGTTTTGATTCTCCGGCATCCTGAGCTCGTTTCGTTTCGTCCTCAACTGACTTCACGATCTTTTTATATCCTTCTGCCAAGGATATGATAAGCGTGTTAAGGAGTTGAGCATTCTGCATTGCCCATAGAAACCTTGTAGGACATACTTGACATTGTATGATCCCTGCTGCCGTGGTCGTCAAATGCCGCAGAGCAGATAAGCGTGCTGTGAAGGGTAAATCATCTGCTTTTCGTACTTCTTCTAGTGATAAGTATAAGCTCGCGAGACAGGCGCAAGTCTGTTGGCCTGGGTCAGATTCAAATGCCAACAGCTTGGGGTCAACATTTGTCTCGTTGCTAAATCTGAGTCAGCTCACCCATCAAGGTGATGGTTCAGTCGACTCACCCAAGAGGTATCAAATCCAACGGAGCATCTTCAGACATGTGTTGGCACGTATCGAAGCTCCCTCTTCGTCCCATATCACTTCCATTATCACTCCCAATACTCATCGCCAAAGTCGACGGCGATGTCCTGCTCGCACTGCTCTCTTGGGCTTCATTCTCGGAGGCTATCTTCCTCTTCTTAGGTCTTCCCATGGGCATACGCGCCGAGAACTTGCACAGCTCTCCGAGAGTAGAGCATCTTCCACAAGATGGATAGCTTCCGTCACATTTGAGCTTCTTTTGTCCTTGCAGATTGATCAGCATGTGCAATATAAGTTTGGACCCCAAGTGTAAGCGGGACAGGTGGACATACTGCACTGATCGCAGGAAGCTCTCCTATTGGCAGGATCTTGCAGATCGGGGGACATTATGTAAAGGATATGAGAGAGAAGTAGTACAATTTATATACAAGGATAGACCGAGAAATTGAGAGATGCTCTGTTGTAAGATTCAGAAGCTCATCATCTTGTAAGCCCAACAAGGAACAACCGGACGGATCTCATTCGAATAACGTGAGGGACAATCAGCGGATCCTCCTACAAACTCCGCCCCGCCGCTAAGAACTCCCCGTAGGATGTAAGAAAAAGATACAGACGAAGCTGGATAAGTCACCAGGTCTAATACACTCAATACAAGACTGTTAAGCTCTAAGACAAAAATGAAGTCAGAAAAAGAGTGGTCTCTTAATATTATCAGAAAGCTATGACCAATAAACCAATTAAAGGCCCAAATTGTACAAACTCGTATCGTCAGAGCCTGTCCAGTATTTTTGGCATGTAAACGCCGCTAAGAGACCCTGGACCGGAGCCCGGGACTTGCATATTCCGACAGAACCAACCATCGCAGGAAAAAAATTATTTTTCCTTCGAGCTACTGATAAAGCCCCCACTATCATATCAAACTGAACTTTTTTGTTGCATCCCCATCTCATCTACAACTTCGCGACAACAATGGCGCCCTCAAAAGAAGTTGTCGCTCCCGGCGCTGCCGTTGTTACAGCAATTGACCCTGACCAGGTTCGTCTCCACAAGACTCCAATGGTCCAACACATCTAACAAGTTGTTTGTAGACCTTGAAAGCTTCCAAGGCTCTTCTCGCACACATCAAGAAGGCTGCCAAGCAAAAGGCCGACGAGTCTGACAAGCGCAATCTCCTCGACGACGATGAAGACCCTACTACAACCCCCATCTGGCTCAACTTGACGACCAAGCGCCACATCGTCGACAAGGCGCGTCTACAGCCCGGAAAGATCTCCCTTCCTCACTCGCTCAACAACGAAGAGACCACCATCTGCCTCATCACCGCCGAGCCCCAGCGCGCCTACAAGAACATTGTTGCCTCTGAGGACTTCCCCGCTGAGCTGGGCAAGCGCATCACTCGTGTCATCGACTACGGAAAGCTCAAGGCCAAGTACAGCCAGTACGAGGCGCAGAGGAAGCTCTTCGCCGAGGCGGATATCTTCCTTGGTGATGATCGCATCATCAACAGATTACCCAAGATCTTGGGAAAGACCTTTTACAAGACAACGCAGAAGCGACCTGTACCCGTTAACCTGCAGGCCAAGGCTCCCAAGGTCGATGGAAAGCGACAGAAGCGTGTCAAGACTGAGGGTACCGTCAATGCAGGCACTCCCGCCGAGATCGCCAAGGAGGTTCAGAAGGCCATCAACTCTGCATTCGTCAGCCTGAACCCTTCAACAAACACCTCGATCCGAATTGGATACTCCGGTTGGACCGCCGAGCAGATCGCCGAGAACGTCGATGCCGTTGTCACCGGCATGGTCGAGAAGTGGATTCCTCAGAAGTGGCGCAACATGAAGAGCATCTACATCAAGGGTCCCGAGACCACCGCCCTTCCCATCTGGTTGACCGATGAGCTCTGGGTCGACGAGAAGGACGTCATTGCTGAGGGCGAGGCCGCCAAGGGTGAGAAGCCCAACATTGGAAAGAAGCGCAAGTCTCTCGACAACACCGACGAGGCTGAGACTCCTGCTGCTCCTACGAAGAAGGCCAAGAAGCAGAAGCAGCTCCCAGACGCCGACGACGGCAAGCTCGATAAGCAAATCTCGGACCGCAAGGCTCGATTGAGAAAGCAAAAGGCATCGGCCAACAAGGCCATTGACAACTGAAACGTGCAATTCAAGGCATCGGTGTTGAGGCGTTCGTTGAAGGGCGGAAAACCCACAGAATAGAATTGTAGCTATACTTGCATTAACAATACAATACAATATTGATGGCATTTCGCATCTCTCGCGCCTTGTCTGAAACAACTTGGTCTGATCACAAGATAGAACCTACCTAGTCTAGGATCCTGGCAGGAGGATGAAGCGTCTATCTAACCCACCCCCGCCTTCCGCCGGCTCCAGGCCATATCGAGGATATCTGAGCCAGGTGCGGAGTAGATCGAGCTCGGCACAAATAGACATTGGCTTTTATGTCCTCATTGTAGAGTAGGCTTTGTTTTAATCTTGGGGACCTTGCAGGATTGAGAAAACGTTAGACCCGTTATCCTAAGTGATGAAAAAATTTAGGTACGTTTAGTATATTTTAGTAGAGCTTTGAACCTATTTATTCTGGCACCCTGATATAATGATTGTCGGAAGCTTTATCCTCCCTCTTGAGAGTTGTCCCCTGGAATCTACTAGGAAGATAGCGGAAAGTGGAGGGGTCATAGCTGACGTCTTCAGCTCCCCACACAACCTAGGTAGGTACTCTCCATCTTCATCTCCATGTCTACCTTAGTAGGGAGGTAAGGTACCTGAGTTGGAGCTGAAATAGTACCTCTGTGGTGCCTTCTTGAGGTCAGTCTAATAAAATCACTAGCATCGGAGACATGTTTCTTTATATCTATAGTATAAATACAAGTGCCCTTGGTAATGCAGCTTACAGATCGTGACCTTAACCTAACTTACCTTAAGGTGCACTGTGCCTGAGTCTCTGGGGCTTGTATTTGTGGCGCTACCTATGATTAGCAGCCAATCACTACAGGAATAACAAAGAGTGCTCTTTCCGCTCCAAAGCGTCTTCATCTCCATCATCATCTCCATCTCCATCTCCATCTTCTTCCCCATCATCTCCGTCTCCATCACCACCCTTGCTTGGGCAGAAGAATTATTAAGATCCCCGACTACCCCAAAATTCACTGGCGTTCCGCGCATCGACAGGCCGTTTTTTATCTCCCCCCCTTAGGCATCATGTTTGCCCCATCCTTGCTCCCGCTTGGGTTGGCCATCGGATTGGCTGGACAGAGCTATGCTTCCCCTTCTACACCACCTATTCACACAAAGGATGACCTATCCGATGACCCAATACCTATTGTTGTTTGGCACGGCCTTGGTGACCAATTCAACAGCGATGGAATGAAGAGCATCCAAGCCCTCGTTGAAGAAATCCACCCAGGAACCTTTGTTCATATCATTGCCATCGACGAGGATCCCGGCCAGGATCGAATGGCCACTTTCAAGGGAAACGTCTCGGACCAAGTCAGCAAGGTTTGCGAGGAACTAGCCAAGCACCCCATTCTGTCTACGGCGCCTGCTATTGATGCCATCGGTATCTCTCAGGGCGGACAGTTCCTCCGCGGTTACGTCGAGCGTTGTAACTGGCCACAAGTCCGCAGTCTCGTCACATTCGGCAGCCAACACAATGGCATCATCGACTTCAAATCCTGCGGCGCTACCGACTGGCTCTGCAAGGGAGCTATGGGTCTCATGAGATTCGGTACCTGGAGCAACTTCGTCCAGTCAACCCTCGTCCCCGCGCAATACTACCGCAACCCAGCA